TCTGGGTCTCTTCTGGTTCCAGATGAATTTAAGGCATGATTTCTCAATTTCTTTGAGGTATGCTTATGGTAGTTGAGTGGGAATTGCATTGAATCTGTACAGCAGTTTTGGGAGTATGGCCACTTTCACAGTTGGTTCTTCCTATCCATGAGCAAGGAATATTTTTCCATTTACTGAAATCTTTGATCTCTTTTTTCAGAGTACTGTAGTTTTCACTGAATAGATCTTTTACTTTTGTTAGATTGAGTCCTAAATATTTGAATTTCTTGGATGTTATTGTGAAAGGTATGGTTTCCTTAATTTCTCTCTCAATCTGTTTGTTGTTTGTGTATAGGAATGCTATCAATTTTTGGGTGTTGACTTTGTATGCACCTACCCTGCTGAATTTGTTGATTAATTTAAGGAGTCTTTTTGTTGAGTTTTTGGGTTCTCCATGTAAAGTATCATGTCATCTGCAGATAGTGATAGTTTTACTTCTTCCCCTCCTATCCTTATTCCTTTTATTTCTCTCTCTTATCTCATTGCTCTGGCTACTGGTTCCAGAACAATTATATTGAACAGGCGTGGTGACAGTGGGCGTCCTTGTCTTGTTCCTGAAGTTAAAGCTTTCAGTTTTTTTCCATTTAGAATGATGTTCGCTGTTGGTTTGTCATAGATGGCTTTGATCAGGTTAAGGTAAAGACCATCTCTTCCTATTTTCAGTAGAGTTTTTATCTTGAATGCATGTTGGACCTTGTCAAAAGCTTTTTCTGCATCTATTGAGATGATCATGTGGTTTTTGTCTTTGACTCCATTGATAAGGTGTATAACCTTTATATTTTGCGAATATTGAACCAACCCTGCATTCTGGAATGAATCCAACTTGGTCATGATGTGTGATTTCATTGATAATTTGCTGCATTGTCTTTCCTAGTATCTTATTGAGTATCTTTGCATCTGTATTCATTAGGGAGATTAGTCTGTAGTTCCCTTTCTAGGTTGGGTCTCTCTGGTTTTGGTATCAGTATGATGCTTGCCTCCAGAAATGAGTTAGGGAGAATTGCTTTCTTTTTAATTTCATTGAAGCATTTGAGGAGTATTGGTATTAAATCTCCGAATTTCTTGTAAAATTCTGCTGTGAATCCATGAGGGCCTGGGCTTTTTCTTTGTTGGTAGGTTTTTAATCATGTTTTCAATATCATTAATTGATATTGGGCTGTTTAGGAATTTGATATCTTCTTGACTCAACCTTGATAATTCGTACATATCTAGGATTCTGTTCATTTCTTCTGAGTTTTCTATCCTGTGGGAGTAAAGATTTTCAAAGTAGGTATTAATGATCTTCTGAATTTCTGTGGAGTCTTTAGTAATTTTATTGTTTTCATTCCTTACTGCATGAATATGAGATCTTTCCTTCCTTTTCTTGATGAGGTTGGCTAGGGGTTTATGAATTTTATTTATTCTTTCAAAAACCAACTCTTTTATTTATTTTTTGGAAGGTTTTGTTTGTCTCAATTGCATTAATTTCTTCCCTAACCTTTATAATCTCTTCCCTTCTCTGGACTTTGAGCCTGAGTTGTTCTTCTTTTTCTAAAAGTTTTAGGTGCAGCATTAGGCTACTTATTTGTTCTCTTTCTTTCTGTTTTCCTTATGTGTGAATTCATCATTATAAATTTCCCTCTGAGGACTGCTTTCATTGCATCTCATAGGTCCCAGTAAATTGTACTTACATTTTCTTTTGTTTGTAGGTGTTTTTTAATTTCCTCTTGAATTTCTTCTGTGACCCATTGGTTGTTCAGGAGGTTGTTGTTTAATTTCCAAGTGTTTATGGAGTTTGAAGTTCCTATTGTTAATTTCCAATTTCATTGCACTGTGGTGAGATAATATGCATGGGATAATTTCATTTCTTTCACATTTCGGAAGGTATGCTCTGTGGGCTAAGATATGGTCTGTTTTAGAGAAAGACCCATGTGCAGCTGAGAAAAATGTGTATTCTGATGTTGTTGGGTGGAACACTCTGTAGACATCTACTAAGTCCATTTGTTGACAGCTTTGGTTCAGATCTGTTATTTCCTTGCTGATTTTTTGTTCAGTTGACCTATCTCTTTGTGTCAATGGGGTGTTGATGTCCCCTGTTACAATAGTGCTATTAATTACATAGGTTTTCATGCCTGTTGATTTATATAATTTGTAGCTCCGATATTTGGTGCATAGATGTTTATGATTGTTATCTCATCCTCTTGCAGTTTTCCCCCGACTAGTATGTAGTTACCTTCATCTCTTTCAATTGTTGTCGGTTTGAAGTTTACATTGTCTGCAAACAGAATAGCTACACCTGCCTTTTTTGGGGTTCCTGTTGCATGGAGGACTGTTTTCCATCCTTTGACTTTCAGTCTATGGATTTCCTTTGAGTAAAGTGTGTTTCCTGTAAACAGCATATCATTGGATTTTGTTTTTAATCCACTCTAACAGTCTGTTTCTTTTGACTGGAGAATTGAGGACATTTACATTTATAGTTATAAATGGTATGTGTTGATTTATCATTGTCATGTTATTTTCTTGCATTGGTGTCTTACTTTTTCTGCCTGTTTACTTGCTTGCTCTTCTTGACGTTTCATCTCTACTGTTGTTCTTGAAATTGCGGTCAGATTTTTCTCTGTCTAGAATATCTTTTAGTACCATTTGTAACGCTGGCTTGGCACTCATGAAGTTGTTCAGTTGTTCCCTGTTGCGAAAATATTTTATTCCTCCATTGAATTTGAGGCATACTTTGGCAGGGTACATCAGTCTTGGTTGGAAACTGTTCTGTCTCAGGACCTGTAATACTTCACTCCAAGACCTTCTCAATTGGATGGTTTGTGCTGAGAGGTCTGCTGTGATTCTGATGGGCTTTCCTTTATA